CAGAGATGGAGTAACAACCATTGAGAATTTAGATGAAAACGAATCCATTTGCAAGGGCGTGTAATTAAAATATGGGCCTAAACCAATCTGGAATTTCGTCATAAAACTGGCAGAGTGTCGGGAATTATGCTGATTTTATATCCACTTTTATCGGGAGTGCGTCATTTAGAGTTGGGGGTCTTACATAACCGTAACGAACATTGAAAATGACTCGCAATCTGGGTGAGTGCCCAAGATTGCCCCACCCAAAAGTCCAAACTTCTGATCCGCCATCAGTGAGTCAGCTTTGCGACCCTGTCAAGTCATTTATTGTTTAAGCCAATTTCAAGGAACCCAACACTCAAGTGTCAATGGCCAAAAGTTTTGTGGCTTAAGAAAGGTCATAAACCAACGTTATATGGGCCAAAAATATTGGTGATATTTGCAATTAGCTAATATGTTCATTTCAAGTGCTTTGGATATTATGCCATAAATGGGTGAGTTAAGTTCAGAATATAAAATGTAATGTACTGTTTAAAAAATAAATTATATCATATAGCTTATAGGTTCCCTACAAAAGTTAATTTTATTTTGGTTATACAAAAGAAGTAGAATATTTCTCGAAATATGAAAAGGTTTTATGTTATTTTCATATTTATTTAATTGCTCCTATTCCTAATATATCAATATTTATCAAAAGTAGCTAATTTATTAAAACTGTTAAAACTGTTCCAAATTGTCTTTAAGTAATTAATTTAAAAAAGCTTAAATAGCGCTAACTCAGGAAAACAGAAGTCACTTTTGAAGTCATATTTCGAATTTAATGGATTTACTTTTTTCTTTTATTAACATGCTAATAAGAGCTGACTTATACGCTGTCAAAAAAAGACTCAAACGCCAAAGCCACTTCCATTTCCTGTTTTTTCCCCACATCTTTAACTGCAACTTCAGCTTTCGAATTTCTTTTAAAACCAATTATCAAATCATGTCGCTGCCGGCTGACAAACTCATTTATTTTGCTCGCTGCACTCAAAACCGAGACAGACCCACATGCATCATACTTGCACTTGGTTTTGGGTATGGATCCGTATCTGTACATGGGAAAACCCCCTATCCCACTTAAAACTCCCCACTCTTTAAATGCAACCTAATTTTGCTTTCGTTGCCACACATGCAACTACATCCGTGGCAGAAAATGTTTGTTTTCCTTGAGAAAAGTTCGACTGCCCTTTCCACAGACCCCCAACTCATAGACCCCAGACCACAATACCACGACCACGACCACGACCAAGACCCAGATCCACATCAAAACATCCAAGAAAGTGTCAAACTGTCGCCAGGGTCTGAAATTCTCATTACTCAGTGTCTATTGCCTCGTTTACAGGTTCGAGAATTACATTTGGAAAATGGGGAAAATGGAGTGGGATGTTTCCAACTAATTTTAGTGTGTGACAATTAAATTTGTATGGTTTTTGGGTAAGGGATCTTCTTGATTTGCCTAGCAATTAGGTTTTGCTACGAGAAAATTAATTCAACTCAACTTTATATTAATTTTAATGTATTTATTTAAAACAAGAAGAAACACTTTAGTCGATTGGCTCGACTATCAGGTACCCGTTACCTTGTTTTAAATTTCAATTTAAATTGCATTTAGTCATAAAGCCCACTTTAATTCACACTAACATTTTTAAATATATGGGGACGTGGGGGTGCCACTCCGCTGAATCTAAGTTGCGCGGGTATAATATTAAGAAAAACTCAACATTTTGGCAGCACCCAAAAATTGAAATTACCTTACATTTGCGTCTTATTAGTTTTGACACCGCTAATAAATACACCGAATAAATAAGTTTTCTTAAAAACAAGATATTTAAATTTATCTGTCAGCCGCGACTTGTTTTTCTGTTTTCTGCATATTCAATTGATTATTTTTCTGTAATCCCCACGATTTTCCTCACATTCTCGCCAATTCGTTGGCGCTCGAAATACATCAGCATAAATCATCGGCGAATCTCTGGCAAGCGCCACAAAAAACGAAAAAAAGGAGTGGAAACAAGAAAAGCACAGCGACATATTAAATTTACAAGTTGATTTTGATTTATGCGCAATGAGCATATGGAAAGACACACAAACCGAGATTTCTTGCCTGCAGACGCTAACTTAATTTAACTCACTTTGTTGTTGCTGTCCCCGAGTGGCTGTATCTTTCGTTGCCGTTGAATTTGCTATTCCGCCTCAATTTGCTGCCTGCGCCGCCTGTCGCCGACAATTAAGCCGCAAATCGCAAACGTTATGAGTTTGAACCGCCTGCAAATCAAAGCGGGAAATAAATTTAAGTAATGGCAAGACCTAATTTGCTCTGTTTTTCTGTTAAATAAGAAGTGTTGTAAACGGTTTCAGGTAACCAAGTAGGGTTTTAAAATTGATTTGTAGGATTAAAAAAAAAGTTTTATTTAATCTTACATGTATTCAAATTGTTCTGTCAAAATTACATGTTAATCTAACTAAAACTAGCAAAGAAATATTATTTAATGCGCCCTGCATCATTCTCCCGATTTTACATCTAATGCCATTTCTGAAACTTAGTGCCAAAATTTCCAAACTGATTGTTCTGAAACTTTAAACACACTTTTCATACATAAATAAACATGTAATAACTGCTTTTAATTTTTAAAAAAGCTCAACATTGCTTACATTTTTACACAGAGTTCACAATTATAATTGGCTTTCAAACCCCTACCCCGTCTTAAAGATGGTATGATGTTTCCATGACATATAGGTTAAAAAAAAATCGGCATTCATTCTCCCTATTGACGAGTGCTATAAAAATGGTCTCAGCCAGCGAAATCGACTAACCTTTTATGTATTTAAACATTTTCCGTGTCCGAAATCCGTGCCTTAATTTATAGATTACCACACACAGACTTAATTCACTTAAACGCCTTTTCATGTCTGCACCTAAAAGCTTTCAATGGGATGCACATCCGAATCGGAATCCCGCCGCGTTTTGTGGGCGCACAGAAGTTTCTTAGTCTGTCGCCATCAACTTCAAACTAGCAGAGTTACGGATACAGATACCGCCAGACTCGGTAACTCGGATTAATTAAAACTGAAAATTGCAGTTTGCTTGGCAGGGAAATGGGCCCCTTTTTAAAAACCTGCAATTAGCAGCGTAGAATCTCTGGGCTGCGTAATTTGATAGTCCTCGAAACTTGACCCACTTTTTGGGGAATACGGATACGCTAATGAAGTCCATCCGAGAGGGAATTTTATTTCACTTCTTTTTTCGGCCTCAAGTCCCAAAAACTCCCCCTACCTTTTTCAGCCTGTCGTTTATTTTTACGACGCTTTCATTTAAGCGCTGGCATTTAATGTGAAATTTATCATTACGGCGCCACGCCCCCCGCCCAACCGACAAATTGTCGGCCTTGGACAGATTTTTTATTGCACTCACATTTCTCCGAGGCGTAAACTGATATTTTCATTTTTTCAGCATTTAAGGTTGCTCGCTGGTCGACGATTTTTAAATGAGAGTTCCTTTGGCACATTCCTTTTTTAGAGCCACAACTTTTAACCGCAACCTGTCTGCACATAGGTTGCTCGGGGTGGCAATCAAAACAAGGAAGAACGCTATAGTCGAGTACCTCGACTATCAGATACCCGTTACTCAAAGGGAAATGGAGATATGCAAGCAGCAAAGCGAGATTAAAATGCGCCACCTACCGGCGGTAGACAGATCTAAGCGTTATGGGCGTTAGAGTGGGCGTGGCAAATTTATTTTTGGATCAATCGATAGGTATTGACGACACCAACACATTTCAGTTAAAATTTTTTATCTAGCATGCAAATTGTGGGCGTCACAGGTTTTCGCGGTTTGTGGGCGTTTAAGTGGGCGTGGCAAACTTTTTTTTTAGGTCAATCGATAGGTATTGATGAGACCAATACATTTCAGTTAAAATTTTCTATCTAGCATCAAAACTGTAGGAGTTACAGTTTGTGGGCGTTAGAGTGGGCGTGGCAGTCTACTGAAACAAACTTGCGCTGCGTAAGAAGCTCAGGAATCTGTACGCCAAATCTCAATAGCCTAGCTCTCATAGTTTCCGAGATCTCAGCGTTCATCCGGACGGACAGACAGACGGACAGACGGACATGGCTAGATCGACTCGGCTAGTGATCCTGATCAAGAATATATATACTTTATGGGGTCGGAAACGCTTCCTTCTGCCTGTTACATACTTTCCGACGAATGTAGTATACCCTTTTACTCTACGAGTAACGGGTATAAAAAGTTGAAAAAATGCATTTCAAACAGGGGTTTTCCCATTGGCTGAAGAGTTAAGTTTTTGTCAAAGGATTTTCGAAAATAAAATTAAACGAGTTTAGTTTGAGCAAAAGTTGTAGTTTATTTTGTTGGGAATCACATTAAAATGGGTTTAAATTTTAATTAAAGTTATACTTTTTCTCAGATGATTATGATTCCATAATTTAATGTACCTTTCCCGTTTCCCGTTTCATTGGATTAACATTCTATTCTTATGATTTCTTTACAACGGATCAGTTTTCTGATTACCGTAGAAAACTTATGATTGATGTTGTAGTTTTATCTTAACGGTTACAGTGCCCTGGCTAATTAATTATACCTTTTTCCACATAACTTGTAAATCACCGCATTGGTACTTACTTCGTTTAAAATTTGGCGCCAATGCGCAATAGTTACTAACGCGTTTCAAAGTGAAACCTCTGCAACATAATATCGATAGTGCCAGGCAACATCTCATTGTCCATTGAAATCAACGAAACTTAGCGTAGTTGGCTTCTGATATATATTGAAAGGCGTTACATCTTAATATTTCTATTCGGTAAAAGTTGTTTTTAAAGATTTTTAATAAAAAAACGTCGCATCTTGGCATTTTCATCGAAGCATAATCCAACATCGATATTTAAAATACATCGAAGAGCATCGATACATATCGCGTTGAATCGACGCCTCTTCCCACCACTAAAAAACCGCCACCGCGCGCAATTGTTGTAATTTTTTCGGTTGCGACGACGTCGCTGCGCGGATGTATACACCGAAAGTGCATGCGAAATGCGTTCTGCGATAGTAAAATCCACTAAAATAAATTATTAGGTAAAGCAAAGGCAGTTCAAGTCGGAAATAAGAACAACAGCCATCGCCTTAATACAGGAAAACGCGGAAAATGTGATTTTAAAAACACTGCAGCTGCAAATCCGGATGCCTGGCAAAGGTTAGAGCGAGACAACGCTACTTCCTCGAGAGTGTGTGCAATTTGTTGATAGTATTTTCTGTTGTTGTTGGTAAAATGCAGGCGTGCAACAACAAAAAGACCTGAAACAACAACAAACAGCGGCGAATGCCGGCAAAACAAAAAGCGTAAAAGGTGAATTCGATTGATGCGAAAAACGTAAAATAAGAAAACCGAAGGCAATAATCGTTGAAGAATACACAACAAAAGTGGAGTGAGCCAAAGTCGCGTTTGTGTGTGCGTGTCGCGTACGTGTGTGATTTGTTGCAAAGGATAGGAATAGGAGACGTAATCGGCGCTTTGCGGAAATCGAAAGCCAAAATGTTGTAAACAAATAAAAAACCTGAGCCATTCAAATTACCTCCGATTGCAAACGACGGTTTCCAGTTCAATCAGCGAAAAATTCGACAGAAAATGGCCAGCAAAACAAACGAAACCAGCAGGACGATTTGGAAATGGCTAGTCGGCAGTTATCTGATACTGCAGCTGATTGGGAGCAGTTTGGCAAGTCAAGGTAAGAGATACAATCTAAAATTTAAAAACCACTTTTTCTGTTTAATAAAACCAAAGCGGTCAAAACGCACAAACTAAATGTTTTATTGAAATGCTGGGTCCTCTTTCAATATCCTATTTTTAAGTTGCATAGAGTTTTTGTTTGTTTATAAATAGATTAATTATTTAAAATTATACAATCTAGTTAATCCTTGCAATATCAGCTAAATGCAGATTGTAATTCAAAATATTTTATTCAAGCTTTAATGGACAGTTGAATAAGGTCAAATAACTTTTAAAAAAAGATAATAAATTTGTTGAATGTGAAATGTATGGATGCTATGAACAGATTATACCATTTTTGTATAACTTACGTGCTTACAATGCTAATGCTAACAGCTTTTTGTTGTTCTTTATTGCCACAAAAAATAATCTAAAAACTTTATAAATATTAGATAGATGGATTAAGCTTTATACAATTTCAGCAGTCGAGCTAAGATTATTGGCAATAAACACGTTAGTTCAATTTGGCGTTTTAACAATTAACAAACATCCCGACCCTTACTTTTAAGTGGAAAAGTCTATAACGCCGTTGCAATAAAATGTAGTTTACTTTCATTTAACGACCACATAGCATAAAATTACAAATATATTGCATCATCTCTGTATTTTGCAAACGTCAGTTTTTCTGTACCTCACTCTTGGTCGTGGCAGTACATTTTTAGAATCTATGGTAGGATCAAATACGATATTCTAACAAATAAACTGCGAGTGCAGATTTGGCGACTAAATGTCTGGTCGACGTGCCAGAAAGCAGGCAACGGGTCCCAAAATCAACTCTTATTTGAAGGGTGATGTCAACTTTGTGCTGATAAGCAGTCATATTTCGCACCTCGCGCTTTTTTCACTCCTAAATTTGACGTTCTTTTGCAAAACCCTTTTCTGTTCGAACCACATGTGCCAATCACTCGGGGTAATTCACGGTGATTGCGCCCCTCCATATCACCTGCAGATAAGAACTCAAAATGAGAAGGTTGCAAAACGGCTATCTCCTCCGATAGTGCCTCAAATTTCGAACATTACTAATGAGCTTCGCTTGAAACGAGATAAACACAACACTGCACAACAAGAATTGGAAACCTGCCGTGTTTACTAGTATATGAGCCAAAACACACACCGACTGAAGCCTGGTTTTCCTTTGAAAAAAAAACAACAGAAACCTAAGAAATAGGGCCAGACAAAATGGTAGCCGTTAGAGTCATTATCATTAGCTCAAGCCTAGGAAACAAGTGATCTTAAAGGATCAGGTAAAGGCAGGTAGGAACAGTGCAGAGAAAATGCAATTAGGATTAAGGATCAGCCACATTTTCGGGTCAAATGTAGGGTCTTGAAAAGAGATTAGATCGGTAGGCAGCTGCAATGCATCAACTGATTGATTTTGTTTCAAACTAAGCCTGGGGTGGCTTTAAGGCTTATCATATTTCAATTCTCGGTTCGAGAAAATAAACAATCGCAGGAAATGAGGGAGGGATAATGGAAATCCCCGCAAAATGAGCAAAAAATGCAAACAAATTGAAGGCCCTGCGCTCAATCCTGCTTTTTCTCCCCTTAAGTCCAAGAAGAGCAACCCCTAAAAGTGAAAATTGTTCTGAAAAAAGGGGAGCCGCTTTATCAGCTGCGAAATTTATCAATGCCAGCTCCAAAGGAAAGACCCCCAAAAGTCTGGTCGTAAAAAATTGTCAGGCATGTCATATGCAAATGGAATGAAAAATCTTTGAACAAATTTTTAGGTCATGGCATGTCATAAGTCCCAGGACTTTATGCCAGATTTAATTAAAAGCATTCCCTCACATAACACCAAACTTTATGTGGCGGGCGGTAATTAAAAAAACTTTACTTACATGGGTGTAACCCGCTGACAAAAAAAATACGGTGACAATAAAAAGTTAAGTTGGGATCTCGACCACTTAATACCTGATACTCGTGCTTAAGATAGGATAAATATAATAAGGGTAGTGCAAGTCAATATTTTGATTTAAAACAATGTTATTGGCGCACAAGTATGCTAAAAATAAATAACAAACAGAGAAGACAACAGCAAATAAATAAAATCCTTTCATTTTATCTTCTTAGTTAATTATTACCTTTTCCTCTTTAAAGCAATGCTTAAAAGATTAACCTATCCTGAATCCCAAGGATGACAGCCTAAAGAAAATGCTTACTGAAAGGCGTCAAACCTTTTCGTTACATGTTATAATAATTATTTTAGTATACCCACCGATCCTAAAAGTACCGTGTACAAAAACTCACGTGCGAGGTCCTGTTCTCGTTTTCGTGTTTATTTGCTGGCGTTCTTTGTTTTCACTTTTCTGGTCATATTTCTTTGCTTTTAGCCTGGGAACTGTGGCAATTGTTTGGTGTCCTGGGCGAGTCGCTTTTCCTTGGTTTCCCCTTGGCCAGGAGCATATTTAGCCGAATTACGTGATACAATATATGAGGGACACGTTATTCTAATTTCGCACCCCTTTTCATATTCCTGGACACATTTTTTCCGTTTTCCTCCGGGGGTGCGCTTGTCAAAATAAACATTTCCATATGGTGGCCATAGCCCCGGGCGATGTGTCGCAATGTGACAAGGAGAAAGAGGGAAAAGAAAGGGACAACCGGGGAGAGTGTTTAGAGGTCTCGAATGAGGTCACTTCTTCTCCGTTGAATGCAGACTAATTACGGACCGATGCAGTCTCTCAATTATGTTTAAAACTCAGGCGTCACTCCGAAGTGTTGACAAAGCAGCGGAAATTGTTCGTCTCTCGAGGTTCTGGGTTCCGAGGGCATGTACTATATACATATGTATACAATGACTAAGAGGCGCTCAAAGGACTTGAAAATTTCTCACTTTTGTGCCACTTATCGATGGTCGATGTGAGATGTCTTCTTCGGACTCTTTTTTTTTTAGAGATTGGCTTTGTCCAAGGCTTTTTCTCTGCAAGCAAAGACAACTTCTTTCCCTGCAAATAAAGTTTTGCAAATGAAGTGCGGTTACACAAAAGTTTGTCATGTCATTTAATTAAAAAAATTGTGTTATTTTTTATTCTTACAAGTTAAGAGATGGCAACAACGGGTGGATGTTGCATATATTTGGGAAAACTCATGTTGCCGGAATTTTTATGGAAAACAGCAGGAGGAACCGTATTCGACACCAAAAAACAAAGCAGCCAAGCTCTCGAAAGCTCAGCAAATTTTGTGTACAGAGAAAAAATTAAAAAAACACAACGTTATAAACTTATTTTGTTATCTGGAAGTTTAATCACTCTTTAAAGCCATTTTAAACATTGTATTTACGGAGATGGAATTGTATGAATCGTTAAATGTTTAAATTTTTATGAATTCAATTGATTATAGAATATTTAAAAATGCATTTATTTTTATATATATTTTTTTGCTTGTTATTATTGCTAGCATACAACATAACATACATTTTGTAAACTTTCAATATAAAAATTGAATGTTTAAAATTATTTTTCTCTGTGTGCGGCTGCTGCTGCGTTGGCAGAATGCAATTTCGTTTGCAGCTTCGAACTCGAACCTTCCCGCCTTCCGCCGATTCGACATGACAACATGAATAATTCACTTGAACCCGCCACAAAAACAAGAACAACAACAAGCCGAAACTGATTCTGCAACCCGAAATGCTCGAAAAGTTCAATGCACGCAACCACAAAATCCAGATTTTGACCAACTAAAAAAAACGAAGGAGATTCGGGGGAGAATCAGGATGAAAGACGAGACGATCTCGAGGCAGTTACAGGAAATGTTTCTGACCAAAAGAGCAGCAGCTTTGCAACAATGTATCTCGTTTTGCATTTAGCACACTGTACTTTTTGCGGAGGCGTTTCCTCAAGGATTAGGGCCAATTTGCATAGAAGGTGCGTGGGTGATCGATCCGTAGGTGGCGGTTGGCATTGCAGCCAAGGACATGGCTAGAGATTCCGGGAAGAAATAGTGCCAGCCCACTTAAAAAGACGCTCTATCCGTACTTAACTTGTTCGGCTGAGTGGCTTAAAGTGCCGTTAAAACAAGCCCAGTCCGCAAATCTCACACCTCTTTCGACGGGCGGCTCCTCCATTTCCCCATTTACCATTCCCAACTCTACACCGGGGCTATAAAATATCAGAAATTATCTGCCTCCACGCCTCGAATCGCACTTAATCACCCCGAGCAGATGCCAAAGGAGTGAAACGGCTGAAGCGCTCGAAACGGAAGTCGGCAACAGTTTTTTAAATGCAGTCATTTAGCCAAAGTGCCAAAGTGCTGGCCATACTCGCTCGAGGACCGACTCTCTAGGCCCCCGAGATCTGTGATACGGCCACGCCCTGCCTAAAAGAACTCAATTCTACCGGATGATTTTCTCCACTTGGGGGAACTGGCTTCGGTAATTATTTTGTGGCCAGTGGAGCGAGCGATAAGACAAGCTGGCAAAGTAAACAAAGTTTTTGCATTGTTTTTCCATAGCCTCTCTGCATCTTCGCTGCAGTTCGGGTTCTTTTTGCATTTTCTGGTTTCAGGTTTCGCGTGCCCATGGGCTACATTAATTGAAAAAGTCGCTCGCTTTGGCTGTGCTGGCAAGCAAATGAAGTTGGTCTTGGCTTTGGAACTTACTTGACTGCTCCCCCTGCTCTCACTTCGGAGTTTAAGCCCCAACTGCCCACTCTCCGTGCCTAACCCCCTTCGGACTTATCGGTCAACAAAATGCAGTCGCTGCCCGGCGATAAACTGTGGCCATGGCTGCCTTAAAGTAGATCGATCGCTTGATTGGCGACGGAAAAGCGCCTGCCCCATCTGCGACTCACCCCTCCTTTTGTCTGGCCGCTTTTCACTCGGAAAAATAACTTTAATGACTTTGTCTCCCTAAAAAGTTTTTTTTAATGTTTAAGACCCTCAGGTTTTACATTGTTACAAGGCAAAGCCACTCTTATCAAACTAATTTCTTATTTATAAATGTTATAATAAGAAAGTTGAAAGCCTTAATAACTTAGGTAGTTATCTGTTAAGATTACCATATTAAAAAAAAACCAAAATTGTATCTTGATAAGAGACATAAACATTGTGATTTGATAACGGGTGCTTAAGTGCATTTTTGTATCTTTCTGATTATCGAAAGTACCTCTATTTTATAACGCTTAGTTCCCATTTTATTAGTTTTTGATGATTTCCAAAAGCAACCATATGATATTCCGTCGATTCGTTGCTGATCGGATTTTCTCGGTGCAATTATCTGTAGAGCTAATCTATTTGCAGCAATTGCCGCAGAAAAATAGAACATGAAAAACGAGCAGTTACAATGGCGACGACAATGTCTGGGCAAGATCACCAAGGAGCAGAGCGGGGCAGAGGAAGTCGACGGGCCCAGCCAAAAGCAATTTGTTACAAAAGCCACAAGACCAAGTCACCAGCTTCGTTTTGTTCCGATCCAATGCTATCCAATCGGATTCGATTCGAATCGATCCGATCCGATCCAAGCGCCAAGACTCTCGACTCCAGCCGAATGAGCAGCCGTTGCTATTATTTTATTATTATCTACAAAATGCACGTACTTTATACCACTTACGAGTCTGCAGCCACGGTAGTCGACGTCGTTGTAGAAGTCGTGTGGTTGCAGTTTAAGTTTTGGTGGGGGAGAGTGGCACAGTGGGCTGGGGCTCGAGATCTGTGGAGATTCAATGATTGGGGATCCACCGGGTGTGTGATTTCGCGACGTTTAATAGCTGTTACCTGCTGTTTACCTAATGAGTTCACCATTTCACACTGTTTTCGCCAATGAAGTAATATTCAAAGAAAGCTTGGGTAATTTTAGACTTTTTTTTTGTTGATTTTCTTTCGCTTCGTAAGCAAATCAATAAAGTGAGTTTCAAAGTACTTGTTTGTATTTTAATGAAAGTCATGAATAATCTCAAAATATTTGTTTTGTAATAACGCTATTATAACTTAGAAAAAAACTATAAGGATCAATTTAATATTATAATGGAAAATACATTATTTCGAAACTCTCAGAAAAAAAGAGTAAAAGCAAGATGGCGAACATGTCAAAGTATCTAAAAAGAAGTGATACTGAAGTTAATAAACATGATCGTAGTGTTTTATTAATTTTTTTAAGAATCTCTCCCATCTAAGTTATAACTGGCACTTTCCTATGTCCTTGCCCCACTGTAACGTTTTTAGCCGCAATCCGCTTTTGCCTTTGCTCTTGCCAGCTGTGTGTGATCTTATCTGAAGCGTTGTCCGCGTTCGCGCAACTTAAGTAGGTACTAAGTGCTGCATATATCATAGATGCCGAGGCCCAAGCCCAGGCCCATTCCCTACCTCTCGCATCCCGCCCTCCTGCATTCCCACCCAGATGTTGAACCCCAAGACCGGACTTTTTTGTTCTTTGGACCGATGGCGAACGCTGGATTAGATGTAGTGTGCTGTGCGGCTTATGACGTGCCATGTCCATGTGTGGACTTGGCTGATTAATGGCAATTATCCGCCGCACATTTTCTATTTCCACATCCAGCGGCAGTTGGATTGAGCTGTCAATGGAGCAGAGTGGAGCGGAAAGCGGGTAAACCTCGGGGTACATCTGCCATAAAATCCTGTGAAATGCAACCATCCGGCGATGATTTCAGCTCGGTGGCCATTAGGTAAGCGACTTTATGTAGGAACACTTGACAGGCGAGTGGAGCCTAATACCCGAAAACACCAACTGCAGCAGATGCATAGTTGTTATCCGCGGCTTTTGAGATTTAGCTTCCAAAGTGGCAAACACTTGACTCACGAAAGTTGTGGCAGGACAGTCATGTTTTCAGACACTGTCTTCTCGGTGGTTTTCTAAATTTAGGTTTAGTTTTCTGAGTGCGAAAATATCCTTGGGTTGAGATGAAGCCATTGTCTGTGCTTGGCTTTTGTTCTCGAGTCCCACACAACGGCAGATGCAAATATGCAAATCTTGTAATGAGGTGGTAAAATACAAGTTTTCTCGGTCTCTCTCCCTCCTGCGTCGTTTTTCTACCCATAAAACAGATGAGGTCAAAATAATACCACTGGAAATGACATTCGGAGAGTGCAAATATATTGAAAGTACCTATATTTATGGCTCAAATAGAGTATAAAGAGTAAATTTAATAATTTAAATATTCTAGCCATTGAGGCCCGATAACTTATTTTTAAAGGCCGTGGGCCTTTGATCAATGATCAATACGTGCTGAGAATTATTTAGCAAACTATGATTTCATTACTTACATCAAAATTGCTAAAGGAATACTAAGTTCTATCGAAACTTGAATAATACTTGAATTTAAAAGTATTAAGAGATAGATAAATATCATTACACATTTCTTATTTTGTAAAATCAATCTAATAAAGAACATTTGCAGAGATTATACCGAACAACCGAACAGTTAACAAATTTCCCACTGCTATTATTTTGACCGCAACTGTGTACATATATATGGCTGCTGGCAATGACACAAATTGCTTTTGTCGTCTGCTCACAATTTGCATTTGCCAGAGTTCCGTAGTTCCAGTGAGGATGATGGCACCTACACCTACTCCTAATTGAATGTCGAGCATAAAATTATGTCAGCTGACGAGGAAAGGGGCTCTTCAGTATTCTGTGCACAATGATGATGGAGATAATGACGATAATGTTGACGATAGTTAGGGCGCAGTATGTGGGCGTTCGGATCACTTTACAACTAGAAAATTAGAAAACTGACAGCGAAGAGCATTTATATAATTAAGTTGTCTGAGGGTAGGCACTTTGGAGTGGTTCCATAAAGTTCTTGGAACATAACCCACTCAAGCCTGTATAGTTTGGCCTCTAAGCCCTAAGCCGATTTTACTTTCGTTCGACAAATGAGCTTTAGTGTTGCCCGCGACACCTTACTGATGTTTATAAATTTCACACTGCTGGGGTTGTGGGATGGGGGATGTTGGCGCCAGGTAACGTTAAAAAAATAAAGAGGCAAAACTTTTTCGCCAACCTGACAAGCGTGAAATTGCCGGGAAAAATGGGAAAGGCGGAGGCGGAGTGTAGGAGAGTAAGAGAGTTGGAGACCCGCACTTGAACTTTTGTGCCGAGTGTTTGACATGACAACAGCAAAGTAGATAAACGCAAGCCAGCATGGGGAAGAAGAAGCTGGAGAACTCCCCGAACCGCAGAGAAAAGAGGTTGAGAATCGGGAGGGGAATTCCGAAGCTCGCGGGACAAATGGGCAGGCCAAAAGACGGAAGTCACGTAGACAGGAATAGAGAGGGAAGTACGTACTGGCTGAGCTGGATGGAAAGCATGTGGAGCTGCCAAAACGTGATTGATGAGACGAGATCTGAAAGAGAATAACCAGAAACCAGACGAAAGAAGGGGAAAAGTGTTTTGGGGGCCAAAGAAACGATTTCCAAATACCTCTTGAAACCGATAATAATCATAAAAAGGTTACAACACTCAAAATACAAGTTCAAGGTGCCCATGTGCAGGGTTAGCGCTTACAAACATTATACTTCATTTTTAAAGAGCAAAATATGGAAGAAAATGTTTTTGGTGTTTGTCCTTGCCTGAACCAGCAATTACTTTAAACTAGAAATACAACGGTTACTTCATTAAACAGACGCTTTCATTGAAGAGGAAGTGGAAAAATATTCAAACCAATATTTGCTAGGCCCATATTTTCTCCCCCATGTAAGACAAACAAATGTTCTTCTCTTTTCCAACTAAATGGTATTCTGTTGGCAGAACCAACCACATCAAATGCATTTAATTATGCTTCGGGGGAACGTTCAACGTCAATCAGCAGAGCTCTGTTTATTTTTCATGCAAACACCGTCGTTGTCACTAGAGACATATGCAAATTGATACGGATTCTACATACTATTGCCCATTTATTTATTTTTTCGGTAGCCAACTAGCAACAACTTCTGCCAAATGCATGGAAATGTATGTACATGCAATTATTGATGTCAATCAAATCATTTATATAGAGATCGGGATCGGTCACGCTCCGGCAAACGTGGAATGAATTTCAATTTACTTCGAAGAGAGCACCATCAACTTGGTTTGTTGACACGCACAAATATTTTTGTCCAAATCTTTCTTCACCACCTCACCCCGAGAATCTGTGGCATTAGTCGAGGGTAAATATTATCTTACAAATATTTTGCTTGACACCCAATCGCATGTGTGTGCCCATCCTCTTGCCCTTCAGGTAGGTTTGGGTTCTGAGTCTTCTGGGGACTTTCATTCGCTTGCAAATATTTACAGCATTATCATATCTAAATATGTTTGTAACTGATTCCTAAGCAAACTTATTTGAGATATTCGACTGGCAATTTACTAAACCCTCCCAAAGGCTCCCTGAAAAACCCATCAAGCCGCAACATAAATCACCATTAAGAAAGAAATAAACAAAACTGCAATCGAATGGCCCCAAAAAATAAACGAAAACCCACTTAATTGCACTGCGGCCAGATGGTATGGTATAGTATGGAGGTGGGTTCCATTATTTTCCAAGGGGGTTCAATAAACCTCGAGCCGTATGTTTGCCTTATTGATTGCCTTATCACCAACTTGGAACTTGGAATCGGATCGGATTCGGAATCGACTGGGAATCGACGCGACGTTGCGCTAGATTTTCCATTTATCAGCTCATGTATGGAAAGAAAGCGGGGGAAACCGCAGACGTCGGCGATCTATAGATAACTTTTCGGGGGTCAATTCCGAATCGAACTTGGAGTCGTGGCTGCGACCTGCGTGCTGTCATAAATAAATATATGTACGTACATACGTACATGGTGCGTTTGTGTTGAGCATGAAAAATTTATTGTTCAGTGTTTTCTTGCTTTTATTTTTCGGTTTTTTCTCCAACAGACAATCCAGACAATCGTATCAGCGTTTACCAATTGGATATGCAATGCATCCCAGAAACGCTTTCTATTTATGAAAGTTGCCTGTTGACCGGGCCAAATTGGTTTTGTGGCCACCAGCTCCAGCAGCTTTGGGTTATAAGTTCAACTGTTCTCTGCCGCTTAATTTATAAACGAGATAACGATTTCCTCCAGAGTTGTGCTATTCAATATTAATTAAGTCTTGGGGTTTGTTTACAGCATACAAATCATGCAGTTTGTGGTTGGTAATCTTAGTGATGGGGAGTATCAATGTAATTGTACTCAAAAAGCAATGGAGCTAAGAGTATTAATTTCGATACTTTCAAAATGAACAAATTTTTCTTCGATTGCACCACAATTTCATGCTCTTAATGTTTACATCATCTGTGGTTACTCGAAATGATCTATAAGTGCTGTTAATAATATGTCAGTTCTTGAGAACACTAATGCTTTGCAGCCACTTTTTTTACCCATGAATTTCTTATTAAAATAAGATATATTTTACCACAGATATCGTGATGGTTTACGTACCTTTCTCATCACTGTTTCCGGGGATAAAATGCCCCTGCAGTATGCATGAGCACTAGTATCTCGGACTTATAGCCTAGGATCCTAGAGGTATGGTGGGAATTCGGGGTGACACAATGGCTGCCACTTGTCCAAACACATTCATTGATTCAGCCAGCAGCACTCGACCTGTTCCCATTTTCCCTTGGCCATTCGCAACATATTTGCATATGAGTTGCCAAAAACATTCATTGGACAGGATAGGACTGGTGGCCTGAACCGGAGGGGTTTTCCTATCTAATGCGGTCAGTGCAGCCCCGACCATACCCATGCCATCGTGGGCAGACAAAACTCTGTTGACCAGTTTGGCCAGAGCAATGGGCAACTGAAACTGCGTGTGTGGGCGCCAATTGCTGCCAGGCCATAAAACCCAATCCGGGCGAATGGCTCTGGAGAATTAAATGCGAAATTGTAAAATGTATCTCTGGCCGGAGTGCAATGAGCTGCCACTTGAACTTAACCCGCTGAAGAACCGCAGCTGAATCTCGGAGTGGGAGATCGGAGAAGGAA